AGGCACTTCTGTACCAACTTCTGTACCAACAGACAAACTTGCAAAGATGCTGGTTACTGTAGTCTGCACATTAAAATGATTAAACATCAATACCAGGTCTCAGAAGGTGCTGGCAGTTCGTTCAACGCCTACCAAATTTTTCATAACGTATAATTCAAATAATTCATTTCTACATAGTTAACTTCAAACAGGTATATAATTGTTGGTCTTGAGGGATCGAGAGGGCCATTATTACTAAATTTTCCACTAGATTGCAAGATGACATTTCCAAATCCACTTCACTTATGGCCACAGGTTCCAAACAAGGTCTTTCTGGCAGACTATATAACTCTACTGTACACGAAATCTGTCAGACAATCTGTCACATAACCATAGATAGGAAATGTACATAATGCAATGCTTGAAGGAAAAAAAGTCCAATAGACCATGAACTTTTAATGAATGAATTTTAACAGTTTGCAATCTGGTGTGCTGTTTTCGAAGTTTTCCTGCTGAAAAAGACTGTGACTCTCGCTTTATGCTTTCCGAGACTTGATTTAATTAAAATGACAAAGAGTGAAAATATATCTTTCACTCCTGCAAAATGGAAAAAAGAAAAAAACAACCCACAAGCCCATGCTTATTAGTATTCTAGACAGGGGCTGTCTCCCTCCCAGTTTGGCACTGGTTTGGAAAATCAGGACACTTTAAACTCTCATTAACCCCCTTTCTAGCATGTGTCTTGTCACTGAGGAGCCTAGGTAATGGAAACATAATCCCATCACAATGCCTGTCTCTGGTTTTCTTCCCGCCCTTACTATATTCCAGGTTTTAAATAAAAATATCTATTAACTATTTTTAAAATTTATTTGGTTTGGCTGCTCCAGATCTTAGCTGCAGTACATGAGATCTTCAGCCTTCATTGCAGCATGCAAACAACATGAACACTTAGTTGTGGCAACGTGGGTCTAGTGTCCCAAGGATGGAACCCATACCCCCTGCAATGGGAACTCAGAGTCTTAGCCACCGGACCACCAGATAAGTCCAACTATAATTATTTAGAATATTATATACAGTAACTATAACTGATTCCATTAGTCATGTACGGATGTGAGAGTTGGACCATAAAGAAGGCTGAGCTCTGAAAAAGTGATGCTTCTGAAGTACGGCTCTGGAGAAGACTCTTGAGCGTCCCCTTGGACTGCAAGGAGATCAAGCCAGTCAATCCTAAAGGAAATTAAACCTGAATATTCATTGCAAGGACTGATAAGCTCAAGCTGAAGCTCCAATATTTTGGCCACCTGAGGTGAAGAGCTGACTCACTGGAAAAGATCCTAATGCTGGGAGAGATTGAGGGCGGGAGGAAAATTGGGCGGGCAGAAGGATGAGATAGTTGGATGGCATTTACTGAGCACGGCCCCCATTATTAGAACAAGACCCAGTTTCCCCCTCAGTCAGTCTCTCCCATCAAGAAGCTTCCATAAGCCTCTCATCCTTCTCCATCAGAGGACAGACAGACTGAAAACCACAATCACAGAAAACTAACCAATCTGACCACATGGACCACAGCCTTGTCTAACTCAATGAAACTATGAGCCATGCCGTGTAGGGCCACCCAAGACAGACGGGTCATGGTGGAGAGTTCTGACAAAACGTGATCCACTGGAGAAGGGAATGGGAAATCACTTCAGTATTCTAGCGTTGAGAACCCCATGAACAGTATGAAAAGGCAAAAAGATAGAACACTGAAAGATGAACTCCAGGTCAGTAGGTGCCCAATATGCTACTGGAGATCAGTGGAGAAATAATTCCAGAAAGAATGAAGTGATGGAGCCAAAGCAAAAACAACATCCAGTTGTGGATGTGACTGGTGATGGAAGCAAGGTCCAATGATGTAAAGAGCAATATTGCATAGGAACCTGGAATGTTAGGTCCAGGAATCAAGGCAAATTGGAAGTGGTCAAACAGGAGATGGCAAGAGTGAATGTCGACATTTTAGGAATCAGCAAACTAAAATGGACTGGAATGGGTGAATTTAATTCAGATGACCATTATATTTACTACTGTGGGCAAGAACCCCTTAGAAGAAATGGAGTAGCCATCATAGTCAACAAAAGAGTCCAAAATGCAGTACTTGGATGCAATCTGAAAAACGACAGAATGATCTCTGTTCGTTTCCAAGGCAAACCATTCAATATCACAGTAATCCAAGTCTATGTGACCTGACCAGTAATGCTGAAGAAGCTGAAGTTGAACGGTTCTATGAAGACCTACAAGACCTTTTAGAACTAATGCCCAAAAAAGATGTCCTTTTCATTATAGGGGACTGGAATGCAAAAGTAGGAAGTCAAGAAATACCTGGAGTAACAGGCATATTTGGCCTGGCATGCCCATTGTACAGATAAGGAAACTGAGGTTCATTAAGCTTAAGTAATCAGCCATTAGTCCTTCCCAGCTCCCTGTCCACCCTGTCACCGCAAGCTGGAAATTTGGAGGTCACTCTGAATTGCTCAGACCTCACATGCAGTCAGCAAGCCTTGATGAGTATCTCACACACACTTTCTGGCTCCACCTCAGCCTCATCAGAATCTTATCTTCTGCCTGGAATGCGTACAGCAGCCTCCTAACTAGTTCCTTCACCCTCAACTCCACTGTCCACTCGGCCTGGAGGAACATGTGGAAAAGCCATCCCCCCCTCCTTTAAGTCTTGGTATGACCCCTACGCTTGCAAAGGACAAAGTCCCATCATGTCGGGCCATCCCAACGTTGCATTTTTGGGGTTCTGTGGTCTCTAGCTTGTATTTTACTCTGTAGCAAAACCAGACTCATTTTTGTCCCTCCCGAGCCTCTCTCCACACCCTTCACTTCTCTGTACCACAATCCGTGCCTCTTCATTTCCTGGATATTTTCCCCTCATCGTACCTTCTGGCGGGGACACTGCTTTCTGAGCCCTCGAGCGCCTGCAATGGGGAAAGCATGTTGAGTAAGGCAGACACCACCGCTGCCCCGGTGGACTTCACAGCCTGTCCAGGGGAAGCTGACAAAACCAAAAATGCACGCTCGATTGTAATCGTGACCCACACTAGGACAGAGACTACAGGGAGTGCAAGGAAGGAGAAGAACAGTGACACTTTGTGGACACGAATGCTATACTAAGGGCCACCATCTCATACACTATCTGTTTACATATGTCTCCACCTTTCTGAGGGTCATCACTGCTCAAATAATCACTTTGGGGTCAAGCAAGAAACACATGTGGGCCCTCAAAAATGTTAATTGAATTGATGGACAGATGGACGGGTGGATGGGTGAGTGAATGGATGGATGGGTGGAAAAAATAAAGAATGAATCAGTAAGTAAAGGAACATGTTCCCCTATCGTTTCAACTATATAAATCACTGATTAAGACTGTGGCCTTGGTAACAAGTGTATCTTAGAGGCTCTCATATATAAGCTTGTGAGGACCTCCTTTACCTGTGGGAGAAAATTTCCAGAGAACACTGGGCGTTTTCAAGCATTGTTAAGGCTCCCGCTGACATCCTTGAGAGATTCTCAGAAAGATCCTTGTGCACTAGAGAGTTGCTGGGGATAAATGTTTCACAAGGAAAAAGCGAAACAATGCAAAACCCTCTTAAGCAAGGCATGCTCAGCCAGGATCGGGGGATGGGAAGAACAACAGCAGAAGGAACCTTTTTACAGAGGAGTACTGTGGTTTATTTCATTTTTGCTGATTGCGGGAGTGGGGAAAAGAGGAGGACGAAGGGGAAAGATGAAGGGGTCCTGCAGGAGGAAAGGAAGGAAAATAAGAGGGGAAAAGGGAGCTCCACGCTTCTGAGTTGGGCAGGAATTGGCATGGAATGGATATGTCTTTCCTGGAGGTGGACAGAAGAGCCGCCATGGCTCGCCCGGGTCCACGTGAAGACCCAGCGGCAGCCCTCGGGACATCCTGGGACTGGACGCTGGCTGCCGAGTTCCGTTCCAGTGAAACGTTAAAGCGAGATTCTTCAGGGTGTCCGCAGAACTCTGGCTCCCAGCGCTGCTTCCTGGAAGCCACGCCCTTCTGAGTGAGCAGCGCCCACTGCTATCAGATTCCAGAGTTGGAGGACAACTTGGTTAAGAGATCCCCTCCCCGCCACATCCCCCTGGTGCAAGAAGGCAGGACAAACAGAAGGCAGGCGGTATGTGAAACCACATCACAGAAACAAAACCTGGCTTTGGGGAAATCACAGAGACAAGAGGCTGATGTCACAGAAGAGGCAGTTTTCACGACTTTTGCACACTGCGGGGAGGACGTGCTGAGGAGATTTTCAGAGGGAGGACAGAAGAGTATTCATGTCTAATCAGAAACACATATATCCCAGCATAGGGAGTTTCCTGGTGGTCCAGTGGGGAAGACTCAGCTCCCGATGCAAGGGGCCTGGGTTCGATCCCTGGTCGGGGAGCTAGATTCCATAAGCCACAACGAAAGATCTCACATGCCGCAACTGAAGACCTGGTGCAGCCAAATAAATTAATCAATTAAAAAAATAATTAAAAAAAAAGAAATATTCCAGTACACTCAAGAATGCTTCTTCCTTTAAGGAGCGAAGGACTACCCCAAAAAGCCTACTGGGAGGGTATGACTAAGTCAAGCCCTGTCCCCCTGATCCTCCACCTAGACGGTTCAGGGCTAGACAGCATTAACCCATTCTGTCACCTGGAAGCTTCTGAGAAGCTTGGCCAACCATCAGCCTTAGGGGTCAGAGAGCTTCGGAACCAAACCTGTGAGTTCCTTGGCCAAGCATTGGAAAGTTGCTCTGGCACGATGTGAAACCGCCAGCCTACACTGCTTTCCAGGAACTGAGCCTGTGCAGAGTCACCCTATCGGTGACACGTGACCCACCCCTGCCCACAGGTGACCGGCTCGAGGTTTGCATCTGACTCAGGAGAGCAAGGACTTGCTTCCCCACATTCGGGTGAGGGAGGGCTTTCAGTCCATCCTTCTCCAGGGGCTAAAGCTATGAAACTGTAAAACCTGGGCCATGCGCCTGCGACGTGAAGACAGCCCATCAGAAACCAGAGAGAACGAAGCTGAAAGCAGAGAACTGGAGAGAGTGCCCAAGGTGGGGTGGCCCTGCGGGTCCTCCTTACGCCCCATCCCACTTACAGCACGCCCCCTTCGTCCTTAAGAGTCCTGGCTCATTTGGCAGCAGCGGCATCAGACTCTATTACACCTACCCTGCCCTGTGGCTGGCAGCCTCTCCATCCCAACACCCCCACCACGAACATCAACAGCCGGCTGGGTGCCTCTGCTCCACCGTGCCTCTGGGTAGCGTCCAACACCCAGGGATCCGAATCCTCCTCATCACCCATGCTGACAGCATCATCTCCTACTCCACGGACCCATCCTCCAGCTTCTCACCAGCCCTGAAATCCCAAGCATCCTGTTTCCTGAGTATCACCTGTGTCTCTCCAGCTCATCCCCTCTGGTCACGACCACACAAAACCCACCTCTTGGACATTTCCAGTCCCTGGATCCCCACCCCCAACTATATTGCCTTCCACATACCTTTCTTTCCTAACTTCTCAGCCTGAATGCCACAGACCAGGACACAAACCATTCCCTGGCCCCTGCTGTCCACTTCCTCATCCCTCTCAAGTTCTCACGGACAAACTGCTGACACAGGTCAGCCAAGCTACCCTTTAGGCATGAAGGGCCCACTCCTTCCCGTCTCTTCCATCTCCAAGACCTCTCATTTTCTTTCTCTCCAGTAACCAAGCTCCTATTTTGTGCCGCAGACTGGTTTTCTGGGCCTACTCATCAACCTGTATGAATTTGAAAATGAGCACGTGAGTCTCAAATCTAACAATGCTTTCACTTCTTAATTTTTTTTTAATTGGAGAAAAATTATTTTACAATGTTGTGTTGGTTTCTGCCATACAACAACACAAAGAGCCTCCCTCCCCTCCCCGCATCCCACCCCTCTAGGTCATCACAGAGCACCAGCCTGAACAACTTCCCACTAGCTGTCTATTTTACACATGGTACCATACACATGTCAATACTACAATCTTCATTCTGCAAAATGTTTTGATTCAAAACCTTCTGAACATTGCTCTTGTCTTTGCACTGCACAGTCTGAGAGGGACTCAGATTGGGCCAGTGGTCGGGGCCACATGCCTGCCTTGGTCCATTCAGATGAGCTTGCAAGGGGGCAGGTGAGAGCTTGGGAAGGGGCAGCACCGGGAGGGGCGGAGGCTGGGCAGGTACTGAAGCCAGGTGCTGCACGTCTATGAAGTACCGTGGGCTCGAGCTGCTTGTGGGTTGCTTAGCAACCGGAAGTAGTTCAGAGCCACATGCAAGAGAATAGAGGTTTGGGGAAACAATCTGTCAGGGAATCAGGGAGAGACCACTGCCTCGAGCTTTTCAGTCAATGCCTTCCCCTTCCCCAGACGGCAGGTCGGATGACCTGGCCATCCGAGAGGCGTGGGGGCCAAGGCTGAAGGGGGTCAGGCCATGGCTGTGGTTCCCCAGGAAGCCCATCCTTTGCCCAGGTGTCTCACCAGGGCCTTGGCAGAGGCGCAGTCCAAGGTAAGAGCCACAGTGATTTCTGCCGAGCTCGCAGCATGTTAATCACGCCTGTCAGGCTCCCGGGAAAGGAAAGGTTGGCTGTCCTGACAATCTACATTAACGTGGGTGGATGGTGTTTGATTATACCTTCATGACAGTGGTTTCCATTTGCATCTTTCATCAGAGGCTGAAGGATGTGCTATCTGCCACGACTGTCCTGTAGTCACATCCTCCCTGCCAGTACGCAGCCGACCTCGGTGAGAACACAGCCTGCAGACAGCAGGGAACCATCAGTGGGCATCGGGGGGACCCAGCGGCCCTTGAGTGCCCTGGTTTTTACAACAGCATCATCCAATAAAAATGACTGCATTAGTTTTCATCCAGGGTCAGTTTCTAGGGAACCTCTCAAATCCACAGAAGCTCAGACTACTCTAGGAGCGCAGAACTTGAAGCCATAGACAGCAAAAAGGCAAAAGGAAGATGCCCTTCACTGATAGTCATCCAGTGACCACATTATCCTTTGTAAAACTCAGCAAATATTTACAGATGACCAGCCCAGCGCTGGGTACAATGCTAAGAACTTCAGATACAATGGAGAGCATGAAAGAAATACTTATGATGCTTGGGGTCCTTGATCATACATATATCTCAGTTACCACTGCAGTGCTTATACTCAAGATAAAGCTCTTACATGGCGCTCAACTGAATGCTTGAACATGTGCTCCTTGATTTGGTCTTCCTCAGAAGTGACCAAATGACACCAACTCCAACTCGGAGGGTTCTAAGATGTGACAGCAGTAATTTGATATGTTTGTCCCAAGGTTACTTAAAAACAGTGAATGCAATTACCTCCCAAGGATCCCAGTCCACCATCAAACCTGGATGGTCCAAAATCCTCATCTGAAGTGACTGATGAAACTTCATACAGTGTTCTGGTCATATGCCTGAGGCTGAGAGGCAGTAGTTGGTAGAGAAGATCATGGCAGTAGGACTGCCTGACTCTACCCTTTACTAGGTGAGTGGCTGAACCAGACGGTTTACCCTCCCTAAGCCTCACTCTCCCCATCTTTCAAATGGGTACAGAACTGCATATCTCACAAAGATTTGGCTCCAAATCAAATTCAGATAATGCCCAAGAAGCACTTTGCACAGTGTCTATTATTTCTTGCTGCTAAGTCACTTCAGTCATTTCCAACTCTTTGCGACCCCATGGACTGTAGCCCACCAGGCTCCTCTGTCCATGGGATTCTCCAAGCAAGAATACTGAAGTGGTTTGCCATTCCCTCCTCCAGGGGATCTACCCTATTATTTATTACATGCTAGCTATTAGATAACCAGAAATTCTGAGATTGTGGAGTCTTTTTTAAAAAGTGTCTCCAGCTTGGGTTTATCAAAGACATTGATGTGCAATTCTCAGATGGCAGGGCCTTTGATGAGACATCAGGACCAACACACTCTTTTAAACCAGGGCTGCCCCAGGGTGAACAGCATAGGAATCACACCCAGCTGATATTTCTGAACATAAGAGTCAAGATCAGGATGTTGTCAATTTCCTGGTCCCATCAGAAGTGCCTCATTTCCACATCACCTCCAGAGATTCCTGGCGTGTGACTCCAGGAGAAGACAGGTCTGGGCAAACCTAATAGATGGGGCTGAAGCAGCAACAATGAACTGTGAACCTTTTAAAACGATCGAGTCAGGTGCAGAGGACACGGACCAACGAAGACTCACAGCTAAGCAAAACCAAAACACAACTTGGAAGCTGCAGACAAAACGAGTTAAACAGAAATCTGTTCTGAGTGCTTCGTTCTGCAGAGACACTCTTAGAAAAGAAAATCCACTGGGCTTATGAATAAATAAATAAAAATGGATAAAACTAAATAAAGTCAGCACAGGTCAGGAGGGAATACAGGAGCATGGGTGATCATTCCTGCTACAAGAGTGAAAACACTCTGTCCCTTCGCTAACGCAGCCCCGGGTGATGTATGTCCTCCCAAAATAGTGTCTGTGCAAGCAATGAGAGCAAACGGTCGTCTATTCACTTGGCTCTTAGGTCCAGATGAAGATCCATGAAAATAGCCAAAGAGCCAAAAATACCAAGCAACTCCACATTCTGGGTGACTGTTTCTTCTCTCTATATATAGAGACTCAAAAATAGACATCTCTGATTCTGGGCTCGCAGGCCTGAAGGATGGTGATCACCATCGACTGGAAAGAAGATGCAGAATAAATCCCCACCCTGTTGTCTGTTTGCTGAGATGCCATCACCTCTGCCAAATTCCTCAACAAACGTGACCCTTCCCGAGATCCTCATCTGTCCAATATCTGTCCAATATGTGTGGTCCAATGTCTTTTCCTTCGTCCAATAAATATTCATCGAGCTGTGGTTTTATCTCAGACACTGGGTTCGAATTCGAGGATATGAATTATCATGTCTTTCCTTATGTAGCTTACAGTCTAGTAGGAGTAATGGCAGAAAAAAATCAATTCGTAGATTGATGGCAATTATAGGAAGTGCAGAGAAGAAACTGGCTTTCGGGGTGGCAATTACTCCCCACTGGTGAGAAAATAATATTCAAACTTGAATCTATTTGGTAAATAGAACTTAGCAATGTTTGCCAAGTGTAAGTCACTCAGTCATGTCTGAGTCTTTGTGACCCTGTGGACTGTAGCCTACCAGGCTCCTCTGTCCATGGGATTCTCCAGACAAGAATACTGGAGTGGGTAACCACTGCCTTCTCCAGGGGATTTTCTTGACCCAGGGATTGAACCCAGGTCTCCTGCACTGCGGGCAGATTCTTTACTGTCTGAGCCACCAGGGGAAGGGGAGCCCAATGTTTACCAAACAAGTAGATAAAAAACGTGCAGGATTTAGAGTACATTTTTAAGTAATTATAACTCTGTGTCATGTGCAAGTGAATTAAATTTCTGTTTTCTTTAGCAAGATGTCAGGGAAAAGAAGTAGACTGCATCTTCCAGAAATTTAGGTGTTTACAGCCATTTTTGGTGTGAAATACTCTCATAGAGAGAAGGCTTAGAAAAAGGGAAGTAATTTCACTAGCAAGTCGAGATAATGCATGACCATCCCAGCAGCCACTTTTTTAATTAGGGTAGCACTTGCATTTCCATGGTCAATACCACTTTTAAAACAGGTATAACGTTTACTTAACTTTATTGACCTGCATTTATCTTTCTAACCAGAAGAGAAAGTATTTATTCCTCTTTTAAAGCATTTGCCATACTTTCACGGTTGCCTCATGTGTTTCCAAGAGTCAAAAGGAGTTTCTCTCTAGTGCATTGCAAACACAGTCTAAGGAAGAGAAAAAGCAGAATTTGCTGTTTCTTATTTGCTTTTGACATTTTCCCCCCAAGAGAATGACCTCAAAACAACTAAGAAGAGAATGAAAATCATCAAACAGGAAGTGAAGGTCAGGGGTGGGAAGATTGCAGCAAGAGAAGTTGTGTCATAAATAAATCATAAACGTACACAACACTGGAATTAGATTGATGGCACGTTTGAGATAAGTCCATCTATGATCTGATGACCACTGCCCACTGAGGCACCATCTCCTACTCTGACTGGAATTAATCATATGGACCCAGATCAATCATGCCCCAGGTATCATAAAATCTTGCAAACAGTATGGCTGGAATTAGATACAGCAAACAGTATGTGGAATTAGATACAGTGACTCACAAGCAGTTTGTAGATAATAGGAGAGAAGGCAAAACACTTAGAAATGGGTAAATCTCCCAATATGCCATTAAGGGGGGTGGGTGGATGGAACTCACGATCAAGTGATAAATATGATGTCATGTGACTATATACAGGGCTTCGCAGGTGGTGCAGTGGTAAAGATTCTGCCTGCCAATGTAGGAGACGCAGGAGACTCAGGTTCAATCACTGGGTCGAGAAGATCCGCTGGAATAGGAGATGGGAACCCACTCCAGTATTCTTGCCTGGGTAATTCCACGGACAGAGGAGGCTGGCGGGCTACAGTCTATGGGGTTGCAAAGAGTTGGACAGGACTGAGCATGCACACACCCATGCCTGTAAACAACAGGCTGCCAATGGACGGCTTGAAACCACCACTGGGAACTAGTAAAGGTGATCTTTAGGAGGGAACATGTGCTTACCAGGAAAAAACAATGGCAAGTAAATCCCCTTCTATTTCTTTAAGGTCCTAGACTGATGGGCTGAGTCATGCTGGAGACTGAGCGTGGTGCGATGCTGAGAAGATGAGAAATGTGGGCTACGACTTGGACTCAGAGCTGATTC